CCATGACCAAGCTTCTGTCAATTAGATCAATCATGTACTCTTCAGCCACATCCTCTAAACTCTTCATTTCAGTTTCTTGCACAAACCCTTCAGCTATCCATAAATACTTCAACCTCCAAATTGGAATTTCTTGGTCTTCTTTAAATGCTCCGAAGTAAAGAAGGCATCGCTGCAGATAATCAGGCAAATTTCTATAGCTCAGCTCTAGTATATCCCTGCACTCTTCTGTGCCCAAAACAGTGTAGGAGCTCAACCTTTGAGCAACTTCTTCCCAGCCATCAGGCTCTCTCGTTGCAAGAATTCCAGCTATGATGATAACTATAAGAGGTAGCCCCTTACAGTTTTTCGCTATTTGCACTCCAAGCTCATGTAGTGCTGGAGGACACTCCTCATTATGAAATACCTTCTTTCGTAACAATTCCCAGCTCTCTTCATCAGTGAGTGAGCGAAGATGGTGAAGTTTATTAGTAGGTCCAACATTTAAAGCCACCTTGTGATTTCTACTTGTTAAGAGAATTCTACTACCATTAGCATCATCAGGAAATGATTTTTCCATGAGTGTCCAAGCTTCACCATCCCACAAATCATCCAAAATTATGAGATACCTATTTCTCTTCAAACGCTTGTAGAGTTCTTCAACCAAATCAACTTCTTTCATTTTAGTAGGAACAATACAAACCAAAATCTCAAGTAACAAATTTTTTCCGTTATATACTTGAGAAACCGTAGACCAAGCAAAAGTATGAAAATGGCATCTGACAGAAGGATCATTGTAAAGTTTCTTGGCTAAAGTTGTCTTGCCCAGTCCAGGCATACCCAGAATGGAAACAATTTCCAATTTCTTTGATCCTCTTACAAGTAAAGTGGTCACTATCTCTATCTGATCAGAGAGAGGTACCATAACTTCATTTGTTTTTGAGATACCACTTTCTGATGGCACAGAACTCGAAATCTTGACAGCTTTCTTGGATATGAAGCCTTGTTCTTGGTCATCAATCTCTAAGACCTCAGCCTTGATAAGCTTAATATCTTCTGCGATGGTGTTAAAAGGAATGCAACAAGAATCAGATAGATCTCCTCCTCTCAAGGAATGAATGACAAACTCTGCCCTGATTGTCACTTCCATAATGCTACTCCAAAGAACTTGGGGCTTTTCATGCTGGTTGTAATACTTCGCAACATTCTCAAAGCGAGATTTTAAGAATTCAAGATCTTCTTCCACTTCTTGAACTCTATCCTTTGTAAGAGAAACTGAATAGACTATATTGTTTGCCAGTCCCTTTAGATTCTCTAGGAGAAGATCAATGAAGTCCAGTTCTCTGGTACTTGGAAAGCTGAATATTGATGTTCTAGGATAGATGGGGGCTAAGTCTGCCTTAACAAGTTTGATCTTTTCCAAAAATTCAGTGACTGCCAGATCCATTCCCTTGGCTATGTGGTTTGGAAAAAGAGAGCAAATTATAATCCCTGCCTCATTGACAACAACTACGATAAGATCGATCATTTGTTCATCCAACTCATCGAACTTCACCTGCTGATTCTTGAGAATGGTTCTCAAGAATCGTAGTCCCTCATAAAGTATCTTCATGGAAACCATAAAACTCCTACCGCAGTGTAGTAGGTCCCAAATATTTCCCAGGAGAGAATCAACAAAGTCCCCCAATACACTGCTGATTGTCACCAAATTCAGAGTGGGCGGTGATCCTGATAATCCTGGAGCAGTCAGGACTTGGATATAAATCTCATGGGCTCTGGGATCAATGGGCTTGATCCCTTCCAAGAGGTCAGAAATCTTCAACTTCACTTTATCATGGACTTCTTCTTCATCCTTGTCAAACCAACACAGGCAAGAGAGGTATGCTGCATTGACAGCTACAACTTGAGAGTGAGCCAAGACATCTGCCAACTGCCTTTCCTCAACCCCTCGATAAATGGCAAAGACAATAAAACTTTTCAAGAATTTTATCTTTTCTTGAAGAGCATGAATTAGTAGCTGCACATCTCCATAACAATCATCCTGTAAGAGAATATTGACTAGATTCTCTAACAGGGAATCCATGAATTCCATGAGTTCATGATCTCTTAAAGCAGCCGAGCTGGATTGCGATAAGCAACCCAACAAAGTGATGTAGAATTTTTCAAAATCTTGTTTAAAAGAATAGATGTTATTTTGACAATCCTGGACCAACTTAAAGGCATCACTAAGTAATGAGAATGCATCCTCTTCCAGTCTAAGGGAAAGAGAGTGCGACTCCATAGCATTTTTTTTAACAGAATCTTGGTGGCTAAACAAGAAAGATCCCAGACGTACCAAACGATCAATAATCTTCTCTGCAGGTTCTGGATTGCTCCATAATATTCTGGCACAGATAAAAAATGTTCTGACAAGTCTCAACTCCAGCTTCAGGACTTCCAAATTATCTTCTATCTCCAATAGCTGCTCGAATGCATCGATTTCTGCATTGTTATCCAGCAACTCCTGAACATCCATTTTAGCAAAAAAAATCTCCAGATTGAGTAAGATCGAATCAACACAAGTGGGGGAGAAGGCCATCAGAGATTTTCCGTGCAGCAATACAAGAATTCAAAATGCCACACTTGTTTGGTCAACCCTTCTGTTTTCAGAGTGAAAAGCTCAGTGGAATGATGATTCAATATCATCAAAATGTGAACAAAATCAACAAGACAAACTATATCAGGCAATTTCTGCCACCCAAATGGACTTTCAACCACTGAAAACATTATTATATTAGTAATACTGACTATATGAAAGGAATTGAATGATTAAGAAAGACTAGAGAAAGATTAACATAGAAATCACGTCAATTTGTTGGAAGGAGACATATAAGCAAAGGTCACTGCCAATAGTCTAATACCATAAAATAGTGTCCACTTGATTTATTAAAATTAAAAATCTAGGAGGAAGGAAATTAGCAAACACGTTTCTTTTGAATTATTTTCTTTTGGTTCAGAATTTCGGCCGTCTTTTCAACACCTAGCAGTCAATAATGTGTTATGGATTTTACATAGTTCTACTGTATATGCACCCTTTTGCTATGTTCATTTTTTCATTTTGGTTCTTTTTTTCTTTTCGTTTCCATTTTGAGGCAAGAAGGTGAACTGAGTCTCTCAACTATAAAATTGAAGCTACATCATTTCTGTTTATCTGGATTTGAGATGCTACTAGTCTGTACCTATGAGGTAGCAATACAATTTAAACATGTTATACTTGTGTGTTGCTGTTTTTCTAAGAAGCGGCACATTTTAGGCCTTCTATAGGCCATATCTGAGACATGTATCAATGAAGGAATAAATGAAGGAAAATAATAAACACTAATTTGCATTACCGATCAGCTGAGATTGTCAAAAACAGCAAAAGAAGGAAAGAAACTTAGCAAACATCTTCCCTTCTATTTCCTGATATACACATCAGGATTGAGAATAAAAAGGGACTGGATCTAAAATGTTTGACGGTAGGTAACTAGACAGAACCAGTCTATGAAAAATTGATTATGTAGAGGAGCGAACTTATTTTTAAGTTTTGAACTTTTGTATGTTACTCTTTGACATTCTTTTGAACCTGGCTGAGTTGTCCGTAGAATTTTTTATTTGCTTTTGCAATTGATGGTTCTCAACATCCACCAGATAAAATAATATGAACTCTACACATTTGATATTTTCAATTTTGTCTTTCTGTGCTGGTTCAACAGTTCAAGTACAACTCCCAGCCATACTTCCATTGCAACAGGGTTGATGTTCTACCAGCTGAGCTAGATTTAAACAATTTACCACACCACTTTTGCGGTCAAATATGAAGTGCTAGTTTATGTGCATGTACAATGAATTCTTTCATCCTTCTTCTCATACAGCAACAATTGTTTTGTCATTTTAACATTGAGGATGCTCACCTCGGCAACCCCGCAATTCCGAGGCGAACCCACCTCGTCCCTCATCGGAGCTCATCCGTGTCTTGGGCATATCTCCTGAGCTCGGCCGGATCCCTAGTCTACCGTGTAGGTGACCTCGGCACCTCCACCTCAGCTGCACGCTGACGAGGTCAAGCCACCTGACATCACCCGGGACCAGTGCTTTATCTGAAAAGCACTGGAGGCACTTAATGGCACCTGCACAATACTCTCCGTCATCATACCCAGAAGGCTACAGTGTCAGAGTCAGGCCACCTGACAGGGAGCAGAGCCGTAATGGCAAGGCATGGGTCCCACCGGCATAAGACCCCTGTCCTGCCCTCCACTCTCACTCTATAAATACCCCTCATGTACTCCTAACAAGTAAGCACACTGTTCATTCTCATATTCTACTATCTTTCTCGTTCTCATACTAACTTAATCGTCGGAGTGATACCAGGGGAGAAGCCCCGCCATCCACTTTGAACGTGCAACCTCACTTCATTCCACCCGAGGTGAGATAATCGAGTCCACCTCACCACCTCAACAAGAGAGCTGATTTCGGTTGGACTAATTACCCGCCAAAAATCACCTCTTCAACTGGCGCCGTCTGTGGGAACGAGATTACCGTTAAAATGAGATCCACGCGCTCCAGGAGTGGAAGAGTTCCCTCAACTGGGGCTGGGCAGGCATCAGGAGCCCAGCAAGATCATATTTCTGAAGAACAAGGGTCCCCAAGGACCCAGCCCAACAACGAAGATGTCATCGCCAAGATGGCCGAGTTCGTGGCTGATAACCCAAACATCTTCGAGGAACTGGGGAGGTACTTCAAGAGACAGGGGAAGGAGAAGGCTGAATCCTCCAAGAGGAGACCGACGAAATCCCCTGAAGTGTCTTCCGGCGAAGATTCCGATGAGGGGCACCTCTCTCGGAGCACTTCCAGGCGCGCCTCTTCCAAGGCGACCTCTAAAATCTTCCCGGACATTTTCCCGGTGTCTTCTGGGAAAACGAGCTGAGGACCCACCTCGGCGTCCCGGAGGCTTAGCAGCCGAATACCTGAGAGCACCGCCCTTCACGGATGACATCAATAGGGAGATGGTCCCCCCAAATTTCAAACTTCCCGCCCTACGTTCCTACGATGGCCGAGGTGACCCCGAGGATCACCTCCGCACCTTCCTTTCTGCATTTCGGCTCTATTGCGTCCCCGACGCAGTAATTTGCCGAGCTTTCCCCATCTTCCTACAGGGCACGGCCCGAAAGTGGTTCTGGAGTTTAGAACCGAGGAGCATTGCCTCACTAGATGAGTTGATAGATCGGTTCATCCACCGCTTTGTATCATCTCGTCCGATCACGAAGACTTCGGCCTACCTCTTGAACCTGCAGCAAGCCCCCGGCGAGTCACTGCGCTCCTACGTGCAGAGGTTCAATGAGGAAAACGTGCAGATACCTGATCAGCATGAGCAGGTAACCATAGCTGCCTTCACCAATGGGCTGATCGCGGGAATCTTCAATACTGAGATACACCGGGATTACCCCCGCACACTTCGGGAACTCTGGGATCGAGTAGATCAGGGAATCCGAAGTGAAGATCTAAACCGCATGAAGCGAGAGGCTCAAGCCACTCGTACCGGGCAAGATTCCCGGAGGAAAAAGGATGCCGGCCGGGCCGAACAAGGCCCCAGCGGATCGTCGGGTCAGTTCCGAGACCGCCGAAGTGTCTTTGATTGGATCGTCAAAGGCAGGTCGTCCACCTCGGACGCCGAGCTTACACCACTCAACTCCAGCCGTACTCATGTCCTGACTGTGATGAGGCAGAATCACATCGGCCGAAACCCACCTGAAATTCCGAGGAGGAGAGATAAGAGAAACTCAAACCTCTACTGCGCCTACCACCGGGACGTTGGGCACGAGACGGAAGACTGCAATGATCTGAAGCGAGAGATCGAGAATTTGATCCGACAGGGATACCTGAAGCAATTCGTCCGCAAGGATGGAGGCTTCAACCGAAGAGTCTCCCACCGGGAGAACCGGGGCCCCCGCCGAGACGACCGGCGGGACACGAACATGCTTTGCCGAGGTCCCGAAAATCGTAAGGAGGACAAGCCGCCTCCACGCGATGGATCACCGGGCTACGGCCCCAACATCGTCGGGGTGATAAACACCATCGCGGGAGGACCAACGGGAGGAGACAGCCAGAACTCCCGGAAGCGGACCTACCGCCAGGCCGGGATGGAGGTGGCCGAGCCGAGCTCTCGGCTGTCCGAGGTCATCACCTATGGTCCCACTGACCCAGTTCCTGCGGCCTCCAGCAATTACGAATCTCTTGTGATTGAAGTCCTCACCAATAACTACATAGTCAAAAAGGTCTATGTTGACCCCGGAAGCTCGGTGGACGTCTTGTACTACCGAACTTTCGAGAGTTTGAAACTGACCAAGGAGCAACTCACTCCTGTCAGAACTCCCCTCGTTGGATTCGGGGGACACGTCGTCCATCCGGAGGGCATGGTGACCCTGATGGTAACAATCGGGCGACATCCATGCTGCCGAAATGTGCCTGTCAGTTTTGCGGTGGTCAAAGCAGACTCTCCCTACAACATGCTGATAGGCCGGCCCACGATCAACGCCTTGAGAGCCGTATACTCCACCTACCACCTGAGTTTTAAATTCCCAACACCTGAGGGGGTGGCCGAGGTGAGCAGCAACGTGGGTGCCGCCCGGGAATGCTACCTCGCCACCATTCAAGCAGCAGTCACACCCCGGCCCTCGCCGAAGTCAGAAGAAAAGAGGCCAGCGGTCCTCTCCATAGACTGCATCGACCCTCAGAAGGCAGGAGAGCCCAACAGGCTTGAGCCTGGGGATGAGGTGGAACAAGTGGTCTTGGATGAAGCGAAACCTGACCAAGTGATCCAAGTAGGGGCCGGACTCCCCTCACCCCTGAAAGAAGAAATGATCTCCCTGATCAAGGACCACCGAGACGTCTTCGCGTGGTCCGCAGATGAAGTGGTCGGAGTGCCACTCGAGCTCATGATTCATCAACTCAACGTTAACCCACAGGCGGACCTGTGCGACAGAAACGAAGGCACTTCGGCCCCGAACGTAGCAAGGCCATATCGGATGAGGTCGACAAGCTCTTGCCTGCCAAGATGATTCATGAGGTCCAGTAACCCACCTGGCTGTCCAACCCTGTTATGGTCAAAAAGGATACCAGTGGATGGAGGATGTGCGTCGACTTCACCGACCTTAACAAGGCCTGCCCCAAAGATTGCTACCTCCTGCCGAGGATAGACGCCCTCGTCGACTCAGCAATGGGACATGAAGTCCTCTGCTTCCTAGATGCCTTCAAGGGGTATCACCAAATAGGAATGAGTGAGGAGGACCAAGAGAAAACGGCATTCTACACCGACCAAGGTGTCTACTGCTATACCACCATGCCGTTTGGGCTAAAAAATGCCAGGGCAACCTATCAAAGGTTGATCAACCGCATCTTCAAGGATCAGATCGGGCGAAACGTGGAAGCCTATGTGGACGATATCCTAGTCAAAAGTTTAATCACTTCGGCTAGCTTATCAGATGTCAAGGAGGTCTTCGGCGTTCTGCGGGACTCAAGGATGAAGTTAAATCCCAAGAAGTTAAATCTCAAGTGGTGTCACCTCGGGAAAATTTTTGGGGTATCTGATTTCCCGCCGGGGAATTGAAGCTAACCCCGACAAATTCAAGGCCATCCAGGACATGTCCCCACCTCGGAACCTCCGGGAAGTCCAGAGGCTGAATGGACGCCTGGCTGCACTGAACCGCTTCCTATCCCAGTCCGCAGAAAAAGCTTTGCCCTTTTTCAAGGTGCTTAAGAAGGCCGATCAGTTCTCCTGGACTGAGGAGTGTCAGGCTGCTTTCGACAGGCTGAAGCAATACCTGCACTACCTACCCACCCTCGCTTCACCTCGGCTCGAGGAGAAGCTGTACCTCTACCTCTCCGCAGCGGACGAGGCTGTCAGCGCTGTGCTCATCCGGGATGAGGGCACTCAAGTGCCAGTCTACTATGTCAGCCGAGCTCTCCGTGGGCCGGAGACTCGATACACTCAAGTGGAAAAACTTGTGCTAGGACTAGTCCACGCCGCCCGACGGCTGAAACCCTATTTCTTAGCTCATCCCATCTCCGTCAGGACCGACCAGCCCCTCCGACAGATACTGGTGCGGCCCGATGCCTCCGGGCGCCTCACTAAGTGGGCCGTTGAGTTGGGGGAGTACGACCTGTCGTATGAGCCGCGTACCGCCATAAAAGCTCAAGGCTTAGCTGATTTCTTGGCCGAGCTCACCTTCACGGAAGGTCGAGAATCCACCTCCGCCATTGCCGAAGTGTCCACCCCACACCTGTGGACATTGTATGTGGACGGATCCTCTAATGGAGATGGCAGTGGAGCAGGACTGCTCCTGGAGGGCCCCCAGGGTGAAGTGTGCTCGTACGCCCTCCGCTTTGACTTCCTGGCCACCAACAATGAGGCCGAGTATGAGGCCTTGATCGCGGGGCTCCAACTAGCCCGCAGGCTTGGTGCACAGCGGATCTACGTCCGCAGCGACTCCCAACTCGTAGTCTGCCAAGTCCATGGTGAGTATGAGGCCAAGGACGAAACCATGCAACGGTATCTATCCAAAGTCCACCAACTCATCGCATACTTCGAATCTTTCGAAATTCAGAGAATCCCCCGCTCCCAGAATAGGCGGGCCGACGCCTTATCCGGGTTGGCTTCCACCTCATTCTCTGACCTCAACAAGACCATTTTGGTGGAAGTGTTGAGCGAGCTGGGATACATGGAAGAGGTAGCCTGCCCTGTGAACACGGGAGAAACATGGATGAGCCCGTTCATCCTTTTCTTAGGACAGGGAGTCCTCCCCGAGAACCGAGCCGAGGCGAGAAAGATACAACGCAAATCTGCTCGATACGCGCTCCGCGATGGAGAACTGTATAAACGCTCATACCTTGGCCCATGGCTGAGATACGTCACGCCCAAGGCAGGACGCCAGGTCCTCCGTGAGATACATGAACGCCTATGTGGGGCTCACGTCGGCCATAGGATGTTAGCCAGAAAGACCTTACTTCTTGGGTACTTCTGGCCTTCCGTTCGACAGGACGCTCAAAATCTTGTTCTCAGCTGCCCGTCCTGCCAAGTCCACGCCCCTGAGTTTCACCAACCCTCTAACTTCATTGTTCCAATCACCTCACCCTGGCCGTTTGAGCAATGGGGGACAGACATCATCGGTCCTTTCCCTAAAGCGGTCGGGGGCTATACCTTCCTGGTAACCGCTGTGGATTATTTCACTAAGTGGGTTGAGGCCGAGCCTCTACGGACCATCACAGGGCTGGCCATTCAAAAATTCTTTTGGAAATGCATTATTTGCCGCTTCGGCGTACCCCAGATCATTATCTCGGACAATGGGAGACAGTTTGCCGAGAACCCATTCAAGGCTTGGTGCCAGAACCTTGGCATCAAACAACATTTCACTTCGGTAGGCCACCCTCAGGCCAATGGTCAGGCAGAAAATTTCAACCGCACTCTCTTGCATGGCCTCAAGACCCGACTACACCGAGCTGGATCATCTTGGGTGGAGTAACTCCCCAGTGTTCTGTGGTCATATCGGACCACGCCGAGGTCATCCACGCAAGAGACCCCCTTCTCCTTGACCTATGGAACCGAGGCTGTCATCCCTGCGGAGCTCCTCACACCCAGTCCTCGGCTAACAGCCTATGTAGCCGAGGTGAACGGAGAGGAGAGGCAGCTAGATCTCGACCACATTGACGAGAAAAGAGACCTTGCCTCAGCTCGGACAGCTTCCTACAAGAACACCCTGACACACTACTACAATGCCCGCGTCAAGTATCGGCGATTCCTGCCAGGAGACTTGGTGCTTAGAAAAAACTCGGTCAGCAGAGCTGAACTACAAGGGAAATTAGGCCCGAAATGGGAAGGGCTTTACCGAGTTGTGGAATCTAGTCTAAGTGGGTATTGTAAACTAAGTTACCGAGATGGCACTCTAGTGCCGAGGACTTGGCACGCCGAGAACCTCAGACTGTATTATGCTTGAAAATTTTACTAAGTTATCACTTCAGCCGCTTAGTTATTTTTCAATACCAAGATGCTACACATCCGCTATTCAAAAATAAGGGGGACAAATAGGGGACGAAGCAAGAAATCAAAGGAGTCGAAGTGAGAAGAAATAAATCTTTCATTCAATAAAGAAAAGGCATTACAAGAAGAATATAAAAGACCGAGGTCAGGAGTATTCTAATAATCTCCCCACCTCGAATTTACATTTAAAGCCCTATGAGCTAAGCTTCCGCCTCGGCTCCCTCTTGGCCAGTTGCCTCCCCGGCTTCTTCCCCGCCGGGGTGAGCATCTCCTCCTCCTCCTCCTTGCTCTTCGGCACCCTCCTCGCCGACGTTGCCCCCAACTTCTTCTCCTCCTTCCTCCTCAAAGACCTCGTCGAGCTCAGCTAGCCATTTGTTGAACTCATCTTGGATTTCGGCCAAGTTCCTTCCGGCTTGGATGCCCTCGGCCATCCGATCACACAGTTCCTTGGAGTCCTCGTTATAGTTGGCACTGTTCCTCAAAGACTCCAAAGCCTCAGAGGGTAGATGAGCTGCGGCCTCATCTATAGCCGACGTGAAGCCAAGCATGAAGTTCGGCCTTGTCAGCTGGCCGAGATCCCCAATGAAGGTCTCGGACCTCCGGAAATCTTCTACAGCCGAGGTCCTCGCACTCTCGAGAGCCTGCTCGTGGGCCTTCTTCGCTTCCTCTGACCTCTTCTGCTCTTCTTCCAGAGCCGACCTCAGGCTGTTGGCAGTGGCCTCGGCCTCCTCCTCCTTAGTCTCGGCTTCTTGAAGGCGTCTCTGAAGCTCGGACTTCTCGGAATCAGACACAACCAGCTTTTTCTTTAGCTTGGCAATCTGATCTTGTATTTTGCCGGTGTCCTGCTCCTCGAGCAGTTCACAATACCGATGTGCCATCTCGGCCACAAAGGCGGTGTTGGAGGCCGTGGTCACCATGACGCTTTGGAGCATCTCGGCCGGAGTCAGCTTCCTTGTGAACGCCAAGTCCCTCGGCAAGGTGGACTGCATCACCAGGTATTGTGCGACCCGAGGATGGCTGCATCGGTCGTTAACCTTGAGCGACCAGTCCGGACACCAATGCTCACCGGGGTGAGATTTATCTTCCCCAGAAAACATTGGGGGGCATTGGTAACGGTTCCATAGTGAAGACGCCGTCACCGCGTTGACTGGAGCCTTCAACTGTTTGTCTCGGCCGTGTGGAGGTGGAAGTGCCGTGGTCACCCCTAATGGCACCCCTTCCGGAACTGAAGAAGTGGACCCTGTGGCCGCAGTAGCCGAGCTGCTCTGGTCTGCCGTGGTGGGGGTGGTCTTCTCCGCCGAGGTCTTAGAAGATTGCCCTTGTGATTTCTTCTTGGGCGGAGGCGCCGATGTCTCGTCCGAGCTCTTCCTTTTCGACCTCTTTGCCACCTCGGCACCTGAGCTCGACGTGATAATGTCCGACAACTTAGTCACTGCACAAGAAGCAAATATTATCATATGCCTTAGCCGAAGTAAAAGGAAAGCAATGAAAGAAAAATTACAGGGTTTCTTAAGTTTAATGGAAAAGAAGGGAGTCTTGTTGGGAGGCAGTAGAGCTCGGCTAATTCCCCCATCGACCAGCACGGCCTCGGGGTGGTCCCAGCTGAAGATCCGAAGTCCGGACCCCATCAATTTCTGGAAAGACTCCTCTTCGAGATCCCCCGCGGAGGCGTCGGCCTTCGATTTGATGGGCCTCCACCAAAAACCCCGTGGGAAGTCCACGGCCGAGACGAAGATGAAGTCACGCTTCCAATTTTTTATTGAAGTGGGGGCGCCGATGACTAGCTTCGGGATGGTGTTGTTCCGGTTGCAGACGTAGAACCACCCCTTGTCTGTCCCATGCGCCTTGGAGGTGTAGCATCGGCGGAATAGATCCACAGTTGGAGTCACTTCTTGATGTCGGCACAGCATCTCGAAACCTACGAGAATGCGGACCGCGTTTGGGACGAGCTGAGTAATCCTCATACCGAAGTGACGAAGTGTGTCCCTGAAGAACCTCGACGTCGGCATCCTCAGCCCGGCTTCC